AAATAAATAAATAAATGATTTATATTTCCATTTTAGCAGGGTGGGGTGGTACTCACCTATAATCCCAGCCATTCCAGAGGCTGAGGTAGGAAGACCACAAATTTAAACCCAGTTTGAGCAACTTAGCCAGAGCTTATCTCAAAATAAAAACTAAAAAGTAGTTCAGTGGTAAACTACTCATAGATTCAACCCTCACTCAGTACTAAAAGGAGGGAAAGAGAGATGAAATTGGGGCTGGGTGTAGTTTCACATGCCTGTAATCCTAGCACTCGGGAGGCTGAGGTAGGAGGATCGTTGCGAGGTGAAGACCGGCTTGGGCTACAATACAAAGTGAGCTCAAGGCCAGCCTGAGCTGCATAGTGAGACCCTGTCAAAACCAAAACAAAATACAGAGAGAGAGAGAGAGAGAGAGAGAGAGAGAGAGAGAGATTAAATTTGGCACAGTGGCACAATCCTGCAGTCTCAGCTACTTGGGGCTGAAGCAGGAGGATGATTTGTTTGAGGCCAGGAGGTTGAGACCAGCCTGGGCAACAAAGCAAGACCATGTCTAAAAGCTAATTAAGGCAGCTCGCTCGCGCCCCGGAAGCTGCCCCTTCCCGGGGTCATGATGGGCAGCAAGATGGTGTCTGCCAGTCGGGTCGTCCAGTGAAGCCACATACACCATTAATAAGGTTCCCTGACAGAAGAGACTATCCTAAACCCAGTGTATCAGAAGCTTTGAGATCTGCCGGGCTCCCACCTCACTCCTCTGTAATTTCACAGCATTCTAAAGGGAGTAAATCACCGGACTTGCTGATGCATCCAGGTCCACCAGACACTGCAGAAATAATAAAAACACTACCTCAGAAGTACAGAAGGAAACTGATATCTCAGGAGGAAATGGAGTTTATCCAACGTGGAGGTCCAGAATGATGACTGGCTGCTGTTGTCATCAGACAGAAGATTATCTTTATAATGAAGGACTTCCAAAATGACATGAAAAATTGTATATTAAATAACCTTAATAAATATTCTACAAAAAGAAAAAAAAAGACAGAAAATTTAGATGGGGAAAAAAAAAAAGCTAATTAAAATCTAAAGCTAGGAGATAGCAATCTCTTATTTGCAGTCAAACGTTTTTCCTTTGCAAGAGTCCACGTCTGAAACTCCAGAGCTGCGTGCCAAGTGTAGTGAAACCCTTCTGTCATTCCAGCCCCGGAGGCTGAGGCTGGAAGGCTGAAAGTTCAATCTTGCCTGTTTCACTTAGCAACTTATTGAGACCTTGTGTCAAAATAACGAAAGTTGAAAAATGACTGAGGAAAATGACTGAGGATGTACTCAGTGTGAGGGCGCTGAGTTCAACACCAAGCGTGCACACACACACACACACACACACACACACACACACACACACTGCAAAAAGGTTCACCTTTGTACTTACTCATTTTTAATTTTTTTTATGGAACCAAGGGTTGAACTCAGGA